GTCTCTGGCCCGAAGAACATCCCAGAAATCATATCCCCGTTACTTCAGCCCATTTCAGGTGGTTGAACAAATTGGGGTTGTCACCTACCGTCTCAACCTTCCTATAGAGTGCCAGTTGCATCCCATCTTCCATGTTAACCTTCTGAAGCCTTGTCTATCTTCCTCCGATGTCACCAGCCCCACCCTTCCTCCGTTCACAGAGGCAGGAGAAGTGGTGTTTGAACCACATTTGATTAAGGATGTCTGTTGGGTGAAAAGTGGTGGCAAAGTCAATAAACAGGTCCTAGTTGTATGGTATGGGCTGTCGTAGGAGGATGCCACTTGGGAAGATTACAACCAACTCCAAAAGCAATTTCCCACCATCAACCTTGAGGACAAGGTCATTCTTGATGGGGAAGGGAATGTTAAGACCGACGCAGAAGCAAGCCTAGACAATGAGACCCAGCCCCAGTTCGCTCAAGGCCCAACTCAGAGCACTCCATGAATCATGTGCGCAACACCACCTCCGAGGTTCGCTTACAGGCGCCGTCCACGTTAGGAGGAGTGATCAGAGTTTGTTAGTTTGTTAGAGGTTGTTGTCTCTCTAATATAAATATATGTAATAAGCATTCGTAAGGGATATGAAGGAAAACCTATTAGCATCTTCTTGTCTCTCTTCTTCCTCTCTGCTTCTCTTCCTTTTTCTCTTGTCCATTTCAAGAGGGTGAACTCCCTCGAACCAGCTCCATCAGTAGCAAGTTTCGAAGAACAAGCCCATCAAAGTATTAAAGGTAATTTAAAAGTTGATAAACCATTACAAAAACATAAATCCACAAAAAAAAACACGTTTAGAAAAGGTGCATGCCTTCAGTGAGAAACAAGGCAAACCAGAGGCATGCCTTTCCAAGGGGTTGCTTGGGCTTAGGTGAGGCACATACTTTGAAATGCCACTCTGCCTGTGCGCTTAGACATGCCTATTAAATCACTGGGAACAAGCAAATACCTCCAACGAAATGGAAATGGGTTCATTGTCTTGGAATTTCTAGTGGATGGTTTTGGAAAAATGGGTATCACAAATAAATCTCTTATTGGAGGAGGGAAATTGCAGCTAAATATGGGATATCCAATCGCGGTTGGCATTGAAACTAGTTATTTCCATATGATGGGATTAAATTCTGGACTAAGGGTCTTGTTAATTGTAGTGGATTTTATAGGGGATTCTCCCAAGTGAAAGGTGTTATTAGTAAGAGCCATCTAGGAGGGATAGGGTCAATTGGAACCCAACTTTGGGCAATCCCTTTTGATTAGAGAGATTGATGAATGCTACAAGTTCAATTTACATTGCATCAGGTGGGCCTATTAACAAATGCTTAAAATGAGCCTTCTCAAGCTAAAACCCTAGTTTTATGTATTTTGGTTAGAGTGTCTGTGGAGGTGGTGGAGGTTGGATGCATTTTGTGAAGAGATGGGAGATCCATCATATGGAGGGTCGAACCCTGCAGGAAGGTTGGGAGAAATTTAAAAAATTTCTTTACTCCCATCTGGGAATCGCATTCCCAATTTAGAAAACTGCATTTTCAAGGTTCGTTCTTGTAACCAAACTGGACCAAATCTGAAACCAAGATTTGGGAGAGTTATACCTGATACGGAATCCACACAAAATTGATCCTCCCAACGCAAGTGTTCACACCCAGAGTGTACCAAATCCTCCCTCCACTGAAGATGACACAACTTAGGATGAGGCAGGATCAACAGGTAGTTTTTCACCAAGAACCTTTGATTCTTCAGCAAGAATCAAATGGGGTAGTGAGCACAGCTTTAGAATTGTTTCTTCTAACAAGAAACAATATCAAAATCTAATCTTGATCAGTTCCAAGAAAATGGAGATCGAACAGGGTAGGGCGGCAAGAGCAGGGAGAAAAAGAACTGAAGGCAGAAACAATCAAACTAAATTGTCTTCTGTGTTGTGTATGTGTGTTTTTTTCAGATCCGCCATGCTCTCTTTATAGCCTTAAAGAGATTATCTCCTAATCTGATTAAGAGTCTCTTGATCCAAATCTTTATTTGGATCTGAACTCTTTAAGTGATAAGGATAATCCCTTATCTTATCTGCAGTTCAAGATCAGCTTTTCCTATTCAAATTAGGAGTTCCCTGATTCAAATCTCTATTTGGATCTGAACTCTTCAAGTGGATAAGAGTTATCCTCTTATCCTTATCTGCTAATCCATACCCAGATTCGCCCCTATTTAGCTAATCCAATTAACCCAGTTCAAAATGGGCTTTAGGCCCATTAAGCTTTCATGTTCACTACGTTTTAATGCTAGCTAGTTTGGCTCTCTTTGTATGGCGTGGGATCCTATCATTGATCTACACATCAGCCACATGGGTTTAGCCTAGCCTCTTTTACAAGGCCTGGCCAAATTCACTATTGAATATAGTGAACCCCTGAGTCCATCACCATGGGTTCTCAATGGGCTCAACATTCACACTAAATGGTCCTTGAGTCCAACCATCTTATGAAGGCCCAAGGACTGTGGGTAGATGCAAGATTAGCCCATTAATTAGGTATAACTCCCAATGGTCTTACACTTAACCTCTCATCCTTTAATGATCTTACACTGCCCGACAAGAGAGGACCTCTCCCTCGGCTGCAAGGTACAATGCTGCACTCTCTACTCACATGCATCCCGGGAATTAAAACCTTTTGCAAACAATTTGTGAAAACATAAAATATAAGTATATCTCTATATAAATATATTTTGCAAAACCAAATTTCAAACACATTTGAAATCCACTGCCGGCAGTTTAACTTTCCATCAGAGAGCGTGCATTTCCCCGACCATTCACTTTGTCCGACAAAGGGACTGATCATGTCACTATGATCACCCACTCAGATGAATTCTCGGGCTATCCCAACATACCCAGGTTTTGACCCCCTCTAAGGATCTCACTGATTGGCACATCAAAGATAGCCCAATCCAACACCTAATGCAGTATCATAATCGAGTCTAGGGGTCAGGTGTAACATTCCAGTTTTGCCCATCTGTCTCCAAGGTCCAGGGCAATATCAGAATTTAGTCCGATTCAGGATTTCAAGAAAACCCACACTGCATGTACCTCAGGTCTCACCCTGGCAGCTGAGACAAGCCACCCCAACCAACTTGTCGGCACATCAGTGTCAGCCTTGGCAGGATAAATCTCCCCAGATCTATCCAACGGCTATGAAGATTCTAAACTAACACGAGTCTCATATGTGTCCAATTTAAGGGTATTACACAGAAACACCACAATAACATGAATCAAATATGTACTTTATTCATTTACAATAAATGTCATAATGTACATCATGCTAATTGGAGCTAAGGGCATACACTATCTAACATTTGGGTCATTATTGCCTCCACCCCCAGAGTCAAGGCTTTCATGTGGCTTGGATTTATTATAAAGTTCTTACTACTGATCATCTCAATAAGGTGAATGTTGATGTGATGGGCTTTGCTATCACATGTTTATGCTTTACCCTCATTGCACTCGAAAAAATAGAGGCCTCACAGCTCCTTATAGATATGTTCACCATGCAAAGAGATGGAGAGTCAATCAATCAATTTTCATTGTGTGCTCAATCTCTTCAGCTTTATGGAATTTTTCTTTCACTTTTCATGGTGATTGGATTTCCCAGACTCTAGTCATTCCATGCTCTGATGGACTGACTACCTCTTAGGGAGCAAGGGGTCAATCCTGTCAAATATGGTCCTATTTATGACACATTGGCCTGGTTGGAAAAAGAGGAAGTGGAGGATCATTGGATTGGAAAGGCCTTTTGCCCATAATTATGTGGGACGGTTGTATGACAGAAAGGTATGATACTAGAAGAATTTTGACCAATAAACTCCCCCACCCATGAGTTTTGATGAATACCAGCTGCTTGGTTACCACTTTTATGATATTGGTTGATTGGTTACAAGCTTTTCTAGTATCATGCCTTTTCTACCTGTTCAGTGCCATATTCAATATTAAAGTACTAGCACTTTCTTACTATCTTCAAACAATGTCCTTGTCAACTGCCCTAGCTCTTTTAGCCCCCTCAACCTGTAACAGATCGCTTCTTACAGATGCTGTAAACAGTCTTCCCTGCATGTTACCAGTCCTCCCTCTAATTCTGCAAGTAGTCATTACAACTATCAACAGCTCACTTTTCTTTGCAAAAAGAGTTCATTCTTTTTCTATTTTTATATTTTGATTTTCCGGTTCATGGTTCATGTGGAATTAGTTCTTTTTTTGTGTGTGTGAAAAGATGCGGAATTAATCAGTCCATATCCACCTATACTCATCAATGTTCATCAATACTATCAACTCACAAGAACGGGTACAAGTGGAATTGCACAAATACTCCAATATTCCACCAGTGCCACATGACCCCCTTGAAAATCTGATAAAATGTGCCATGCATCTTCCATGTCATATTGAGATTTTGAACCTTGATTATATCTATGATTTTACTATATAAAGCAATTTTCATTATTATTAAGCATTTAGATACTTTTTGTTCATTCTATCATTCATTTATATGATTTCCCTACACAAAAACATGCATGTATAATGCATTTCTTATCCTAATTATTTTAGTTTCATGTTTTTTCCTAAAAATTGATAACCCATGATGTTGCTCGACAAGTCATAAGCTTCAAATTTGAGGTTTATGCATCTAAAGGTCCTAGCACCCCATATCATGCCTCTACATCTTCAATCATTGTCAATAATATTGAGAACATTCATATATCTTTTTGGTGCTAGACATACCATTTCTGCTAAGGATAGCTAATAGTTTTCCCAGTTCCAAGTAAGACAGGATTACGTCAAATCAACTAGGTCAACTTCCTCCAGATCAGTCATTGACTCAGCTAGGCTTGAATAGAGCAGCTTGAACCAGTGGGATGCTTCCCAATTTTATTATTGTCTAAGTGGGCATTAAGTCACCAAGCATGTCTAAAAGAACAACCAAAAGGAATTATTCAAGTACCTCCCATCCGACCTCTGTCCTATACCAGATTCTGCTCTTTCTGATGAATGATCTAAGGTGCTGTCATCTAAGAGCCTAGCTTGTAGGGTTGAAGCAGAATTTATGTCAGAGGCTGCTTGATTTCTACCAGAATCAAGTGTCCGTCCTCTTCCAGGAAACCTGTTATCCTGTTGCAAGTTTGCTACCATAAGTTAAAAGAAATGCTATTCAAACAAAAACATATTTTAAAAACTCGATCAAACACTAGAGGATAAAAGAATTCCCAAAAATATAAAAAAAAAAAAACAATAAAGAATAAATAGATGGGATTAGACAAAGTTGAATAAAAACACAGAGCCAAAAATATTTCCTTCCCCATCTATCTTCTTTCTGCTTTTATTGTATCCACATGAGACTACTGCCAAAAAATGCCAACTAAATTTTTCCTATTTCCACAATCACAAAAAAGTACAGACCATCATTGCAACCAAAGATTCAGTACAGCAATAAGCTCAAAATGTATTTGTCATAAGTTCAGGCCATGGATTTCAATAACAGATTAAGTATTCCAGTTATTTCTACTGAGACCCTTCTGGAGCATCTTCTTTACTGTTATTATTAGTCTGGAGTAAGCCAGAACCCAATGATCTTCATTGTAAAGAGATTTCATTAATATCAAGATCAAGAATTACAATTAGGTGGGGTTTTTTCCACCTAAGAGGCAACTTTTTCGTTTATAATTTTTCCCAAAACATTTGGTGTGAACTGTCCCTTGTTTAGCCAAGATACCCGCCATCCCATTTGCTGATCTTCTCACCCGTTTAAAGACAACATTTTTTTTTGATAATTGAAAAGAGATGATATATCAGAAATGTTACAAGCACCCCAAGGAGAGGCACGAGGTGCAACCTCCCTTGAGATTAAAGTGCAAAAGCTACAACAAAAACATTACAATGTTGCCCAGTACAGATGTTCCCTCAAAACCCCTTGTTTAGCAAGATGATCAGCCAAAGCATTTGCTGATCTGCTCACCCAATGTGAGCTAACAGACGTATTATTTGTTAACCAGCTTGCCTTTTTTAGGAAGTCCTAGTAGCACCAAATGACTTATCACGGCTCTGTTAGCCAGCTCACAACACTCTTAGAATCTCCTTCGATGAGAAGATGCTCAACTCCTAATTCATTTGCTATCTGAATCCCCTGTAAAGCCACCAATAATTCAGCCCTGACTGAGTCTCCTACTCCCGCTGGACCAGAGTATAAGGCTAAGATGTTGCTGTCTTTATCTCTCAAGACTCATCCTATGCCTGAGGGGCCAGGGTTTCCTTGACTGCTTCCATCAAAATTCAACTTTACCCAACCATCAGGTGGTGGGGTCCAAGAAACAATGACCTTTTCCTTCCTGGAGGAGCTGTTTGTCACTGCTAACCAGTTCCTCCAAAGGTCGTCAAAGGTGAACAATTGGAAAGAATCCAAAGTTTTCAGCCAGTGAATTGCCCTTGTTAAGATACACTCCTTGATGAATAAAAGACTTCATTCCTTTTCTGGAAAATCCTTGCATTCCTTTCTTCCCAAATTATCACAGCTCTAATACATTTCCACATAATTCTTCCTCTATTGTTGGGCCACACAAAAGCTGATGGATCAAAGAGTTGGCTCATATCCGCAGGTTAGTTCCACCTACATCCAAACAAGGCAAAAATCCAAGCCCAAATAGCTGCAGCAAAGGTATAGGAAATTAGTAAGTGGAAACAATCCTCACCATTTGCTTTACAAAGAAGACACCAAGAGGGGACAGGCACAAAAAAGGTTTTTTCTTCTACAACCAGTCCAAAGTATTAATCTTCCCAAGAAACACTTCCCAGCAGAAGAAAGTGATTTTAGGGGGAATAGGCCTAGTTCAAAACTCCTTAATTGGAAAAATAAACTATAAAGCAGGAGCACAAAGGACCTTGAAGGAGGCACAAGTAAAGAGACATTTAAAGACAACACTCAGCTCCCTTGTTATGCTTTGAATTTCCCAAAAAGTATGTCTATAGATCCATGGGGTTTGGGAACTGCATCTTGTCCATGAAATAACCTCCAAGTTATGGAATCCAAATTGCTTAGCAAATTAAAAGCTATGGAGTAGCCCACATAGTTCTGCTGTCAATGCATTACCATGTGTTAATGGTCCTGAAAACAATGCCATCACCTTTTCTTCTATGTCTCAGAAAATCCATCCCATTCTTGCCACAACCTGATTTCCAAAAAAACTCCCATCAAAGTTGAGTTAAACAAAGTTGGTTGTTGGGGGTCTCCATTCCATGTTTACTCTTTCCCTGATTTGAGCCGACAATGCCACTTCTTTCCACGTTCTCAGAATGTCATTTATTGAAAAACTTTGGAAAACCTCCATATTCTTTCATTTTCATCATATCAAAGATCTCCATCTCTGTTCTATTCTTTTCACTGAAGATCCTCCCATTCCTTTCTCCCCACACAGTCCATACCATGGCAGCTTTCACTGCTTTCCACATAATTCTTCCCCTTTTCTTCGGCTGTCTCAAGAAGTTTGGATCAAGGAGACCCATCACATCCTGAGGAGGAGTCCAACTGCACCCAAAGAGAGAACAAAGACACTCCCAAATACAAAATACAACAGGATAAAAAGATGTGGGAGATGGTTTCACCACTGTTTTTGCACAGAAAGCACATCTGAGGAGAAAGGCACTTATTTGGCCTTCTTTTCTACAGGTAGATGTTCACCTTTGCATTATTATTTTGCAACTCTGATGAGAAAAAGAACACTGACCTAAAGGAATAGAATTAGGAAGACAAACGGGAGGCTTTTCTTCACTAGAATTCTCCTCTTGAAGAGAGGCACAAGTGGGAAAAAGTTATGTCTTCAATAAAAGCCACATCTATAGATACAACATCTTCCAGAACAAGGATCAAAACACTGATATCCTTTTTGAGTAGTAAAGTAGCTAGGAGAACACAATGAATAGACTTGGGATCAAATTTACCATGACGAGAACTGAAAACATGAACAACCAAAGACCTTCAAAAGAAGGTGGAAAGAAGGATCATCAAGAAAAAGTACCTAGTGTGGAAACTGGAGCTGCAAGAACTTAGATGGTAACCAATTTATGAGATACACCACAGCATCAACAGACTTGAAAAAAAAAAGTAAGAAAAAATAACCACAAAGATCATAAAGAAACATGGCCTGTGCAATAATGGCACAGTCTTCTTTAATTCAAAGGCATATCAAGACTATCTTCATGAGACACGGGACATACACCAGAGCTTGACATGCTGGCAAATCAAGAAGGTATACCCCCATTAACTTCACAACCACTTCTAATCATCTTCCCCATCTTCAAGTCCTGAAAAATACAACAACGTGGGCAGAAAGTCACACAACTATTCAGGCTTTTTGGCAAGAGAACTAACTGATAACAAATTTGTGTGAAGGGAATAGGTAAGAGAAAGATTATCACTTAGTTTGACTTCTCCCATAATTGAAGCCAGTGTATGAGATCAATCAACTATAGTGATTTTATTACAACTTGCAAATGAAAGACCACCACCTCTTTCCTACCTACCCTCAAACCTTTCAGCAATCCCCAATCATCAGTTCTAGTGATTATCCAACTCAAAAAATCACCTATGAGAGTAAAAAGGACCCCCCTGCCTTAGACCTCTCTTCTCTGGGATAGAATCCTTAGTGAACCCATTAACTAGGATAGTAATGACAAGACTATAAGCATCCCTAGACCCATATCCTCCATATTGCTCCAAACCCCGTCTTTTCTAACAGAACATCCAAAAAGACCAATCTACCATGCCATATTCTTTTTCTCAATCCAATCTGCAAAGCCATCATTTCTTCCCTCCACCCCAGCCTCTTGCATACCCTCAGTAGCAATTAGGATTTGTTCAGTAATCTGTTTATCCTACATAAACACTCCCTAAAATTGGGACACAAGAAAATATAGCACTACCATAAGCATAAGGGAGAGAACCTTGGCAATGATCTTGTACATTCCACCTACTAGACTAATGGGCCTGAAATCTCTAAGAAGGGAATCATCTGAGTTCAAGGGATTAATGCTAAAAAAGTTGCATTTGCACCAGGATTAATGATACTCCTGGAAATGGAATTCCCTCAAAGCCTCCATTAAATCAAACTTTATAATATCCCAGAACTCATGAAAGGAAACCCTAGAAAAACTATTGGATCCCAATGCCTTATCCATTCCAAAGGCAACACTTTTTACTTCCATCTTCCCCGAAAGGTCTCTCCAAAGAAAAAGGACAGCTCAAGTAAGGAATGGCTAGTCTAGGCCAGAAACAAAAGCTCTGATTGGAAGGGGAGAGCTATAAATTTCTTTAGAACAATCTACTATTACCTACTCTATCTCTCTTGCCTGGTTATCTCCAATCCATTGATCACAGGATCCTCATTAAGGACATTAAGGGTAGAAAGGAATTAACTACCTATGAAAAGAGGGTTCATAAAATTGAACTTTGATGGACACAACTGTGGTAACCCGAGACCATCAAAAATAGGGAGGTGTTATAAGCATGGTTTAAGGTATTAATACACCTGATACGCACGAACAAGCGTATCAGGTGTTTCACTACTTAATAAATTTGCTTTTTTAGTTTTTTTGTCAAAATTGCATCAGGGGGTCGGTTTTAAGCATCCCTTGAAAATGGTCAAAGTCCGAAACACCTCTTATTTGGGTTTTGGACAGTTCTCAATACACTAAGATACACCCAATACGGGGTGTATTATCAAAATTTTAAACAATTGAACCTTGGCCATAAGGAATGAAAAAGAAGAGATTTGTCCTATGTTCTCAAGACCACTAAGGGAAGGAGACTCGACAAGGGCAAAACTAATTATTGTAGTTTGTGGGGTACAGAAGGCTATGGAACTAAGGGCAGAGAAACTTGTAATTGAAGGGGATTCAAAATTTTTCATAAGTTAGCTGCTGAAGATGGAAAATGTCTTGTGAATATATAGAAATGAGATTAAAAAGTTCAAGCAGTTCACAGAGGATATGCAGTTGACAATTTGATAGGTTCAAAGATTGGTAAATAGTTTGGCTGACCACCTTGCAAAGCAAGGAACAAATAGAGTGTATCTTTTCTGGGCCTTCTTGTAAATATTGGATGTGGGGAAGATATTAGGAAATCGCAATGGGTTTTGTAATGAGCTGTATAGAGTATTCCCCTGTTGTACTTTGATCTTCTTTCTTTTTGTTTTTTTTTTTTTATCAGCAAAAGGTTTTCATTAATTAATAAAGAAACTTGGTACAATTGTTGGAATACTCCAACCAACCCAAGTAACATCAAATTACAGTTTTGCCCAAATAAAAGAGGTCTGTCAACTAATACATATGCCAGCCTATTTGCAGTTTTTCTGACCCAGCTGAACTTGGGATTAATTTTCTTTGATAGGAGATCAATTTCCCTAAAAGCATGTATAGTTCCAAGGTGCTGAATTGAAGTTGTGAATCTCCTTCAACTTCCAAGTCCCTAACAAGAAGTTGTAGTGCTAGTCTCATTCCTTGTAATAGAGCTATTATTTCAGCCATAACCGAGTTTCCATAGCCAAATGGTCCTGAATACAAAGCCACCACCACAACTTGGTGGTTTCTAAGGAACCCCCCCCCCAATTTGGTGGTTTCTAAGGACTCCCCCCCATGCCTGCCCTTCCCAGATTACCCATAAAGCTTCCATCAAAGTTCAGCTTCGGCTTATTTGGCTGGAGGTTTTCATTCCATTACCACACTGCCTTATGTCAGTTTGTGTCACTTTAGACCATGTCCTTACCATGTCATTGGTTGATACTACTTGGAATATATCCGATGTTTTTACCCAATGCGCAGCTCTAAATGTTATGGCTTCAATCAATTCCTCCTTAGATCTGCTATTTTCATTAAAGTCCACACCATTGCTGCTCTTACTATCCTCCAGATAATCCTCCCTCTTTATTTCTTTTTCCTCAGGAAGTTGAGCCTCATTTAATTCATAAACTTAGTTTAGCTTGGCTTACTTATCCTTTTATATGTGAAGGCAAGGCCTTCATTCCCATTCTTGAGCAATGTGGTACATGGAAAAACACTCAATAGTCAGTGTTACCATTGAGTTTTGTCCCAACTCCCACATTGCTCAAGAATAGAACCGAAGGCCTCACATTTATCTATAAAAGATCTTGCCTAAGAGGACAACTCTCATACTTGAGTTGACTCGTGTTGGCATGTATTGACTTGTGTGTTGACATGTGTCAACTTATGAATATTTATGCATTAAAAAATTTATATTTTATATAAAATACTAAATGTTTAATATAAAAGAAAATATATTTGCATATATAACATATAAAATATATAAAATTAAGCACATATAGTGCATAAAATAATATATAATAATATAAAAATATTATACACTTAAGAATATATTATATTATATTGTGGGATGGGCCAGGCTTGAAGTGTTGGGACCAAGCCCGGCCTGGAATTTTCTGGTTTTAATACAGGCCGGGCTTGCACACAAAATCCTGGGCCCAGGCCCAGAAATTTATGGGTTGGGCAAGGCCAGGCCAAGCGTGACCACCCCTACTTGCAATAACACAATGTTAGGCTTTCCCTTTCAAGTATTTGATCACCATCCTCTTTCTTGCACTCCCCAACCCTATCACATTCCAACTAATGATTTTAATAGATACAACTCAGAAGAGAACCCAGAAATCTTACCACAACCTCCTTACTTGAAGCCCTTCCTCCTATCTCCCCTACCACTAAACTCTAGATCTCCCTCAATATCAAAGATTAACCATTCCACCTCAGTTCTTTTCTTTTTCTTTTTCTTTTTTTCCTCCTCTTCCTTCCCTCCAACCTTTTCAGCCATTTGACCCCTCTCATTTTTTGAGGCTGATCCTATTCCTTTACTTCCACCAAAGATCTTTCTCTTACACCAGATCATGGAACATCAAATTTAGGGTCTCTAGCCTCTAACATCAACAAACCAATTGACAACAAAAAGAACATCAGCTTACCAACCAAACCACATCAATTTCACCTTAAAACATTCTATAATTGTTTGTTATTCTTAAATTCCTAAATTTCACTGCATATAACATGTTCCATCATCATTAATGCAGTTCAGTTTCCTCAGTCTAGATCTATGTTTCAATGCATAAATATGTCATAATGGCACATGAGAATTACATATTTTAAATGAATGTTTCAGAATCTGCACAAAAACAACATGAAGGGACAAAAAAGCATGGACAAGTCATGTTTATGGTAATAGAAAACATGCTTATTGTAGCCATATCAGTGTCAACATCCACGCCTGTATCAAGGTATCCTGACCTTATGCATGACAAATGACCAACAACTAGAACAATCATTTTCAGATTTAAAGAGGAAAAGATCCCACGGCAGCAACCAATTTGACAGTCAATACCTGAGCAGGTGTGGATTCTCTATGTGGGATCCATGAAGAAAGATTTCTCCATATACTTCCAGAGGCAAAACTGTTGCAAAATAACCAAATTAGACCCTTTTTTTCCTCAACAGGCAAACAAAAAGCTCAAACCACATATCTTACCTCGGTGTTGTATTTTGGCTTGAATAAGTAGGGATGAAGCCAGATGTACTCCCTCCAGTACACAAAATAAATTTAGGTCGCCTCACGCAAGTGGACTGAAAATAATAATATCAAAAATTGCAAATTCATTTGGTCTTAGCATTAACAATAAATGTGCAGGTACACATTTCAATGTGCTTCAGTTTAACACATAATTCCACAAGGCAAGCAAATTTATTTAACAAATTATATTTTAAATTACATCTGTGATTATATTTAACAAATTCCACAAGGCAGTGAAGGCAAGCAAATTTTAAGTTTAATTACATCTGCGATTATATTTTAACAAATTAAAATATTTCTTTTGGTAAAAACACAGGCCCAATATACTTACCTTTCAGTTGAACACATAGAACTTGCAGTACCAGGAGCAGGTGATCCACCCATTTAACCATTTCACTTTTTTATCTTCACATGCAAGTTTGAATTCAACATTCTAAACACTGAGAGAAGGGTTTGCTTTTTATAACCCTTTTCATCTCCCATTTGGAGGCAAGATAAAGAATCCTTTACCCCTATAGTGGTTCCTTTGATAATAAAACTACAAAGGCTAAAGTAGAGCTCTTACTAGGACGAGAATCAAGAAACAACTTCACATTTCATCTTTCATTAAAAATAGCTGTTCATCTAATGCAATTAGATTGTTGTAGGAAGTAGTCCTTGGAACCCCCTTTCTAAATGAAATTAGAGAATTCAGAATGGGTGGTTCAATTAAGACTCATTGAGTTCCAACTGGTCTCAATTGTATAGAAAATTGGCTTGTAAAATCTAGGGTTAGAAAAGTTAATTTTACACTAATATTTTTTTTGTTGATCAGCAACAATGAAAAAGATCCATTCATTAAATAATTAAAGCAGTTACTGTCAGAGTTAGGTTGAGAAGAAGAAGAAGAATAAGAAGAAAAAGAGAATTGAACGGGTGTTTCTAGGCTTGACCCACACCCAGAAAGTTGTATTTATATTAATATGACAAAAGGACAATTCCGCGAGGGTACCACTTCAGTAGGCTTGGATTCGAATTTTGTTAATATTTGAATGGACCAGGGGATACAGTGTAGATTCAACAAATCAAGTACTCCTACAGTGTAATTTTACAAATTTTATTTTTCCTAGTAATTATGAGAACCCAAACCCACACAAGATTCTTTGGTTTTCTCTTCATCTCCACTGCATCAAGATACCACCAATTGATTCTCAACTGCAATTCTCAAACTTGCTCGAATTCCAACTCTAGCAATTTCTGTGCTTCCACCTTGCTTGAGAAAATGACGAGGAATTGTATCACCTATTCCAATTGGACCTGAAAAGATTGCAATAATTTCCTTCCTCATTTCTGAAAAGTCCAATTCCAGACAGACCCAGATTACCTTCACTGCTGCCATCAATGTTGAGCTTGATGAAACCTCTAGATGATGGGGACCAAGGCCTAACAGCCTCCTTAAAAGAAGAAGCAGCTACCCCCCGCCATTTCCTTATCAGTTCGCCCCCAAAAATATCCTAAAAAGAGATCCAATGTCTTCACCCAATGGACCACTCTGATTGTGATATCCTCAATGATATCATCGCTGCTTCTTTTTTTGCCAAGAAAAATTATCTAATTCTTCTCTTCCCAGATTGTCCAGCACACTGCTGCCCTTGTACACTTCCATAATATTCTTTCCCTCTTCATTGGCAAACTAACAAAGGTAGAGGTGAACAGACTTTGTACATTAGGCAGAAGGTTCCATCTGCACCCAAACAAAGAAAGAAACCATTCCCAAATTAAAGAAGAAAAAGGGCAAGAAATTAATAAGTGATAGAAATTCTCACCATTGACTTAGCAAAGAGAACACCAGTGAGGGGAAAGACACCGATCAGGTCTTTTTCTTTGCAGTAATTCACAGGTATTGATTCTTTCTACAAACACTACCCAGCAAAAACCACCCACCCTATGCGGAATAGGTTTACTCCAGATCTCCTTAACCAAAAAAGACAACCCATGAATATCACTCGGCTGAACAAGGGATGAGAAAAAGGAAGCACAGGTGAAGGTACCAGAGGGTGACAGAGTCCAAATTTTCCTATCCCTTTTTGTAGTATCCAAACACACCCCTCAAGGTTTTGAAGTAAACTCATGGCACTAACTTCTTGGGGTAAAAGTGGGATTGCAGGAATCAACTTGGAAGATGGAGAGTTGTAGAAGTTTGCAGAGAATCTAGGGTGTGAGATTAGAGCGTGGCCTGTCATATACTTAGGCTTGCCATTAGGAGGGAACCCTAGATGTGATGGCTTTTTGGAAGCTGATGGTGGAAAGGTTTGTAAGAAAATTAGCCATTTGGAAATGAAATTACATCTCTTTGGGTGGAAGAATTACTCTAATTAGAGCAACACTGGCAAATCTTCCCATTTATTTCCTATCTAGCTTTCGAATACCAACCAGGATAGCAGGGCAACTAGAGAAGTACACGAGGAATTTTCTGTGGGAACCAAGAGAAGGAAAAAAGGACCACCTAGTAAATTGGGAATATGTTAGTAAACCTAAGGAAGAAGGGGATCTTGGGTAAGGGAACTTAGTCTCTAGAAACACTGCCCCCCCCCCCCCCAAGGTAAATGGTTGTGGAGATTTCCCTTCAAGAGTGAAAGACCATGGCACAAGGTAATAGTAAGCATTTGTGGGTTGGAGGTTGGAATGCAAAAATTGCTCCCCCAATCTTCCTCAGCTTCTCTGTGGAAAGCAATTCATGATGTTTACCCAACTTTCTTAACTCTATCAAGTATGATGTGCGAAGGGGAGACAAAATATGTTTTTGGGACGACTTGTGATTGGGAGATTTTCCACTCAAAGACCTTTTTCCTAATTTCGTTGCTATTTCTCAATTTAAAGGTGAACCCATGTCCAGATTGGGAATACCCTCTCCAACTGGTTTAAATTGGGACTTGGGGCTCAGAAGAGTTAAGGAATGTTGACTGCTCTTCCTTCTTTAATTACTTGATTTGTTAAGGCAGGTTTCTTTGGATTCTTCCTGTGAGGACTCCAGAATTTGGATTGTTTCTTTAAATGGCCTCTTTACTTGCTCCTCCTCTTTTAAACACTAAGCTTCTTCAAACATTCAAGAGGTGGATTACCCAGTGAAAAAAAAAAAAATTGGAGTAAGCCTATCATATATAAAACTCAAGCTTTTTGCTGGGAAATTTTTCTTGGTAAGGGAAATACGTGTGATATGTTGCAAAAAAATAAGGTTGTCTGTTTGCCTTTCTCCTCACTTGTGCTTCTTGTGTAGGAACAATGGTGAGACCCTTTCTCATTTACCAATCTCAAATTTCTCTGTGTCTAAAATTTGGGAGATCTTTAATTCTCTCTTCGAGCGCAAGTGGTACCCCCCCCCCCCGTCAAGATGTGGTGGATCTATTCAATCCTAACTTCTTGAGGCAACCAAAGAAAAGGGGGAAAGAATTGTGGAATTCCACAAAGGTAGCAGTTTGTTGGGTGGTGTGGGCAGAGAGAAATAATAGAGTATTCTTGGAGAAGAGCAAGACTCTAGAGAAAGTGATTGATAGTATAAAAATAAAGGTAGCATTTTGGGTAAATACCATAGACATTTTCAATTCCTTCTCAATAATTTACTTCTCAAGGGCTTGGCTTGAAATAGCACAATCTTCAAGAGTAAAAGATAGAGTTAAGATGGAATGGAAACCCCTAGTAGGTATTAAAGTAAAATTGAATTTCGATGGGAGCTCCCTCAGAAACCCAGGTATGGTTGGAATAGGAGAGGTCATCAGAGATTCAAGGAAGAGGATTGTGGCAATGTTTTTAGGGCCAATTGAGTGGGGAAACTCTTTGATGTTGACTTTGTTGCAAGGTCTCAGACTAGCTAAACAGTTGGGATAGTGATTTAAAAGGTGCGCCTAGGCGCACAAGCGAAGCACATTTTAGGGTATGCACCTCACCTAGGTCCTAGGCGCAGCCCTATCAAAAGGTGCACGCCTGGTGAGCCTAGGCGTGCACCTGATGCGCCATGCGCCTCAGCCCAGGCGTGCGCCTTTTGAAAATTTGACGTTTTTTGGTAATGTTGTTCATTCATGCATTATAATAAAATGTTGTCAATTCATTCATCCTAATAAAATGTCTTCTTAAAAAGCAATTAAAACTATAAAATCATTATTTTTTGTGTGAAAAATAAGAATTTAAGACCTAGCGTGGACTTGTTTGGGCTTGCCTCGAGGGGCATGGCACAAAGGCGGCTCGTAGAATCAAGAATGTAATATGTTTAATATTACATTAGCTACTTGAAGTAATGCAATTGAGTGAAAAAAGAGATTAGAGGTTTTACATGCTTGAAAATGTTTTATATGTTTGATTTTATTTTTAAATTCTCATTTGAATATGCTTTACATCTTATGTTTATGTATTTAATTTTAGATAATAGGCTTTTTAAAACATTATTTTAAATTTTAGGTTTATATTTTTTATTAATAATATGTTCAATATTTTTCGTTTTTTTTTGAATTTTTTGGAATTTTCTGACATTTTCTATTTTTTAGCATTTTTTTTGTATTTTTGCACCTTGCTTCAAAAAGGCACGCACCTCGCCTTGCACCTTGCGCCTCAAGCGCAAATTGACCCATGTGCCTTGCGCTTTTAAAACATTGAGCTGGGATTCAGAATGATTGAGGCAAAAGGAGACTCGCAAGTAGTTATCTCTTGAATAAAACCCACCAAGCATATTCCTTGGGCACTTTGGCATGTGTTAAGAGAAGTGGAAAAGATTACAAGAGAAATAGAGGTTGAATTCAAGTGGATTAGGAGGAGAGCAAATGGATTAGCTCTCTCTTTAGCCAAACAAGGGATTATGAAGCAACAAGGCATCCTTGTAACTTGTTGTAACTTGGGCTTGAAGAGGAGATTGACACTTTGGTCAATAAAAAAATGATCCCAAAACTTAACAAGAGTTCCAAACCCGAGATTATATCTGATATATGGTAAGAAAAAAGGTAGAATATCGTGAATGAACTTCCACGGAGAAGATCTTGTAGCCTAGCCAAAGTTCCAATATCCCAGCCATTAGCCGCAAGCCAAT